TCAGAACTTAAGGGGTTAGCACCGATAGTTCACTCCCACACTCACTCTATTGCCAAGATAGAGACCCAATTGGGTCAAATGGCTAACAACATGAATCGGAGAGAGGAGGGAAAATTACCAAGTCAAACTGTGGCCAACCCTAAGGGACAATACGGGGCAGAGAGTTCGGGTGGGAATGGTAAGCAACATGAGCAAGTGCAGGCGGTGGTTGCTTTGAGAAGTGGTAGGGAGTTAGAGCCTCAGTCAGTTGCGTCTGATGCAACTAGAGTTAGGAAGGGTGACCATGGTGGTTCATCTAGTGAGAGTAAGGGTGAGGGGGAAACACTTAAGAGGGATGAGTTAGTCCCTAGCACTCCATATGTGCCTAAGGCACCCTTTCCCCAGTGCCTTGATACACCGTCCCCTTTTAATAAGAAGGCGGCATCTATGGAGGCAATGATGGAGGTCTTTAAACAGGTAAAAATCAACCCCCCTGTTGGAGGCGATTAAGCAAGTACCATCATATGCCAAATTTTTGAAGGACCTTTGTACGCAAAAGCGTAAATCTAGGACACATGTGTCCCAAAAGGTCTGACTCACGGAGCAAGTAAGCTCCATCTTGTTGAATGACACACCTCCTAAGCTTAAGGACCCAGGTGCCCCAACCATTGCATGCATTATAGGGGACCACTTCATTGATAGGGCCTTATTGGATTTAGGGGCTAGTGTTAATTTGTTGTTGTACTCTGTGTACGAGGAATTTGGGCTTGGTGAGTTGAAGCCCACTACTGTTACTCTTCAGTTGGCTGACCGGTCCCTCAAAGTGGCACGAGGCATGATTGAGGATGTGTTAATTAAGGTTGATAGGTTCTACTTCCCTGTTGACTTTTTGGTTTTAGATATGGAACCGGTAGCCAGTTCGAGGAAACAAATCCCAGTGATTTTGGGTCGACCTTTCTTGGCTACGGCCAATGCATGCATTAATTGTTGGACCAGAGTTATGGAAGTTTCATTTGGTAACATGCAAGTGAAACTTAATGTTTTCCAAGCATCACAACAACCTCATGAGAGAGAGGAGTGCTTATTAGTGGATGTTGTGGATGAGATTGTTGAGGAGGCTTTGCCCTCCATTCTTGTAGAGGACCCTTTGGAGGCTTGTCTAGCTCACTTTGGATTTGAAAATTTTGATATAGATGGGTCAATTGAGGAGGTGAATGTCTTGCTTAATTCTTCTTCTACACCGGATTTTCCTCCATGGAAAGCCCGGTTTGAGTCACTTCCTCCTCTGTCGAGAGAGCCTGCCACACCTTCTTTGGTCACACCACCTACACTTGAGTTGAAGCCACTTCCGGCCACACTCAAGTATGCATTTTTAGGGCCCCAAGATACTTTACCGGTCATCATTGCATCTGACTTGACTGCAGCGCAGGAGAGTCAGTTAATGAGTGTTCTCGTGGCACATCGGAGTGCTATAGGGTGGTCAGTGGCTGATTTGAAAGGGATAGATCCTGCTGTGATGCATGCATTATATTACACCTAGAGGAGGGACACAAACCTTCTGGTGAATGCGACGAAACTGAATCTAACATGAAAGAGGTGGTGAAGAAGGAAGGTTTTGAAATTGTTGGATGCGGATATCATATACCCCATCTCAAATAGAAGTGGGTGAGTCCCAACACAAGTGGTGCCCAAGAAATCGGCATCACTGTTGTTGAGAAATGAGGGAGGAGAGTTTAGAATCCCCCACCCGAGCCACACTGGTGGGCGAGTGTGCTATTGATTATAGGAGACTAATTCCTTCGACTTAGGAAGGATCATTTTCCCTTACCTGTTCATTGACCAAATCCTAGAGTGTTAGCGGGGCAGGAGTTCTATGTTGTTCTCTTGATGGTTTACTCGGGGTATTAACAGTCCTGGTGTAGCCGCTGACCAGGAAAAGCCATTTTACTATGCCCTTTTGGCACTTTTGCTTACAGGCGCAGCCCCCTTCGGGCTATGTAATGCACTGGCGAGACCTTTCAACGGTGTATGATGCCAATTTTCTCCGACATGGTGGAGAATTCTTAGAGGTTTTTATGGGATGACTTTTCGGTGTTTGGACCGTCTTTTTGAGGAATGCCTTAGGAACTTGACTAGAGCATTAGAACGATGTTACTGGGCAACCTAATCTCGTATATCGAGTGGGAAAAGAGCATTTATCGGGTTCGTGAGGGATAAGGTGTTGGACACATTTGTCCCTCGAGCGTAATAGAGGTGACAAGGATAAGGTTGACCTCATTGCAGGCCTTCCTCGCCACCCAATTCCATGCGTCAAATTAGGCTTTTCTTAGGGCATGCACGGTTTTACCATAGGTTCATCAAAGACTTTAGTAAGATATCACGTCCTTTGTGTAGTCTACTGGTAAGGACGCACCTTTTATCTTTGATGAGGCATGCTTAAAGGCATTTGAAACACTAAGAATGCCTTGACCACCGCCCCATCATGAAATCACCAGATTTGGCTTTCCTTTGAATCTGTGTGATGCCTCTGATTATGCTGTTGGGGCTGTGTTTGGCCAAAGGTCAATAAGACCCTATTGCTATTATACTATGCCTAGTGCACTCTTCTGGATGCACATTGAATACACTACCACCGAGAAAGAGTTGCTAGTTGTGTCTTCGCCTTAGACAAGTTCTGGTCATATCTCCTAGGTTCCAGGTCATAGTCTTACCGATCAACACCGCTTTGCGGTATTTATTATCAAAGAAAGAGACCAACCTAGAATTGATTAGATGGCATTTTGTTGCTTCAAGAATTTGACTTAAGATCGCCTGATAAGAAGGATCACGAGAATGTGGTGGCAGATCATCTCTCCCGAATCCTTGTTAAGTATAATAGTGACCCTTTATTTTGCTATGATTGTTCCTGACAGAACAACTCTTGAGCTGTCACAAGCGAGCCCCCGTGGTTTGCATATTTGTGAATTACTTGGCCATTGGGAAATTCCACTGAATTGGTCTAAGCAAGTACAAAGACCGATTCTTTTCGCAGGTTAGGTATTAACTTTTGGGAGGATCCGGAGTTGTTTAACTATTGCTCCGACCAAGTGATCCGACGGGGTGTGCCGGAGAGGAGGTGCATAGCATTCTTACATTTTGTCATTCTTCTGCATGTGGCGGTCATTTTAGTGGGCATAAAACGGCCGCCAAGATTTTACAGAGTGGGTTTTATTGGCCCACAATTTTTAAAGATGCCCATCAATTTTGTAGAACTTGTTTGCGCTGTCAGCAAATGGGTTCGATGTCTCGGCGTGACATGATGCCAATGTCCCCTATTTTTGTGGTAGAAATATTTGATGTTTGGGGGATTGATTTTATGGGCCCTTTCCCGTTGTCGTTCGGGTTTGAGTATATTGTCTTGGCAGTAGATTATGTGTCTAAGTGGGTGGAGGCAATAGCTACCCGAACAAACGATCATAGAGTGGTAATCAAATTTTTGCATGAAAATATCTTTAGTCGTTTTGGGTTTCCTAGAGCCATAATAAGTGATCAGGGTACACATTTTTGTAATCGGTTCTTTGAGTCGGTAGTTAAGAAATACTCTATCACTCATAAAGTTGGCACTCCATACCACCCTCAAACTAGTGGCCAAGTGGAAGTCTCAAATAGGGAGGTAAAGCACATAATTGAGAAAACTGTGAGACCGGATAGGAAAGATTGGTCATAACGGTTAATTGATGCATTATGGGCGTACCGTACTGCTTATAAGACACCCATTGGGATGTCACCATAAAGAGCGGTGTTCGGCAAAGCTTGCCATCTCCCGGTTGAACTTGAGCACCGAGCATTGTGGGCCATAAAGAAGTTTAACTCCGATATGGCCGCGGCTGGGCTCAACCATAAATTGCAACTCAATGAGTTGGAGGAAATCCGGAATGATGCATATGAGAGTTCGAGAGTTTTTAAAGCTCGGACTAAAGAATTCCATGACAAGTATATCAATAGGAAATCTTTTGAACCCGACCAAAAAGTGTGGCTTTTTAATTCAAAATTGGGACTCTTTCCGGGTAAGTTAAGATCAAGATGGGATGGCCCCTTTGTAGTTGTTGAGGCATTTATTCATGGCGCCGTTGAGGTGCGAGATCCAAAGACTGGCCACACTTTCAAAGTGAATGGCCAAAGATTGAAACCATATATAGAGGGGATTGGGAATGGAGATATGATTGAGTCCATTGCTTTGATGGACCCATTTTACTACGATTGATAGATTAATTTATTGTTCTCTTTTCTTTTCTTTCTTTGCTATTTTGTTTTTCTTTGTTCTCGTCATGCTATATTGCGTCTAGGAGACTTTAAATCCTCTAAAGGTGTAATTCCTTTGGTGTTTGCCGTGCCCGAACGGTATCTGACGGTCTGGTATAGCCACATAACCATGTTTGTAGTGAGTTCCTAGGAGACCAACTGAGACGGTGGAAACTAGAGTTCGAATGACAAAGCCTAGAACACAAAGGTTTGGGATTTCCAAGACTAGAGTCTGGTTTAAATATCCAAGGGTGTGGAGATTGCTTCAAAACTACCTCAGCTTGAACTCTGTATGGCAGCCCCATAGGTTGAGGTAGCTTTAGGCGCCTCGATTCTGGATACCGAATCAACCTAGTCTGTCACCCTGTTGGAGAATAGGGAAAGTTACAAACACAGTTAGGGAGAAAAGTAGTACCCGTGGTTTTCGCGTGAAGATTATACCTTTAGTGGGCATTCCGTATGTTCTTTTGTGCTATACTTATTCCAGATGTCAATTGAAGGTAGAAATGGTTAAGTAAACTTTGGGTTGTACTAGCCCGAAGGCTATAAACTACGCTGGGTTTTATTACCTGGGGGATTCTGAAGTGGCAACTTTATGCCATAACTTTGGTGCCTTTTGTTAGGTGTTGAGAGTTAGTTTTCCATTTTCTTGAAGCATGTACACTTGCGAGTGCTTCTTGTTTTTGTTAAACTATGCTGTTGCAATGTAGCAGAAAAAGGTCATTGCATGCGTGTGGGTGGAACCCAAATTTGAATCTAAGTGCCCCTTCCTTCTAACAGATTTCTTAAAGGGCAGGATCTTTCTGGTGTGCTTCCACGATCGTTGGCGAAGTTACCCTACCTCAAAACTGTGTAGGACGGTCTTCCATGTTTTTATTGTCTGTCAATTAGTTGTTATGCTTCCAATGAATCTGAAACACACTATTGTTTTCAGTGATTTCACTCGCAACTATCTTAATGGAACGATACCACCTGAATGGGCTTCTATCAAGTTGGAATATTTGTGAGCAATTTATGAACCCAACAGTCAGATTAATGAATACATTATGTGTACTTAGTTTTCTAGAAGTTACAAAGTGAAGCTGTTGTAGGTCTGTCACCGTGAATCGCTTATCAGGACCAATCCCGAATTACTTGGGAAACATTACCAGTCTCATCTATATGTATGCTCTCACTCTCTCTCCAGCCCACTCCCCCTCATGTGCACACAGGCAACCGGCCCCCCCCCCATTCCGGTTGGGAAAAAAAAAAAAAAAAAACCCAAAAGGTGTCCTTATCTATACACCAAGTTACACTCCCTCTCAATCTCAGATTCGTTGACTCACCCACTTTCCCAACTCTCTCTATCTTCCTCATCTTCATCATTCTTCTTCTTCTTCTTCTTCTCTCTCTCTCTCTCTCTCTCTCTCTCTCTCTCTGTCTTTCTCTCTCTCACAACCCCACACAAGCCCACTATCTTCTACCTTTTTCTTCTTCTTTCTTCTTCCTCCCCACCACCATCTCACCGCCGGCGTCCTATAACCCTCTCTATCCGTCGAATCTCCGGCCACCACCGTTTTTTCCGGCGAATCACCACTCTTTTTCTCTTTTTCCCCACTTTTTCAAGGTAATTTTTATGTGGCGTCTTTGATGTTGTTTTTTTGTTTATGTTTTTTTTTAAGATCTATTGTTCATTTTAAAAAAAAAAAAAAATTTCTTGGCCATGTTTGTTGCAAGTTGATCTTTCTTTCTTTTATTTTATTTTTATTTTTTATTTTTTATTTTATTTTATTTTATTTTATTTAGCCATGTTTATTTCCACGTAATAGTATAGTAACTTAGCCATGTTTAACTAGTTTGATTAAAAAATTTTTTTTTAAATAATTTGCAAATCTGGGCAAGAACACCATCGCCGCACGTGCGGCCCCCACTCGGCGCACGTGCGGCCCATGCCAGAATAAAAAAAAAAAATCAGAAATAAAGTTAATAATACTAATTTAGGTTATTTTTATTTCCTCCATTTGCTTAGTTTAAATAATTTAATTAGTGATTCTGGTTAGTTTAATTAGTTAGTGGATTATTTTTATTTTTATTGTGTTTGTTTAGTTAGTGATTTCATTTTTTTTAAATTTTTTTTTATATTTTTTACTCTATGATGTATTTGTTCATTTAATTATTAAGTAGTTTAGTTTTTTTTTTTTAATTTTATTTCATGAATTTTTCTTTCATTTTATTTGGTTTTCTTAAAAAAAAAACAAAAAAACAAAAAAAAAAATTAATGTTTAGTTTAGGTTATTTTATTCTATACTTTAGCCTCTTCTGTAATTTAGCTAGTTTATAGCTTAGTTTATTTTATTTTATTTTATAGTTTGGTTACTTTAATTTAATGTCATTTTTATTCATTTATTTAATTATTTTCGTTTTTATCTTTTTTTAAAAAAAAAAAAAAATTGGTGGTGTGAGGATGATCCGGTTTTGAATGATTTATGCCTACATGCTATTTCTGATGAATGTTCATATAATGGTTCCACATTTTTGGTTGTGTTGGTTGAACTATTTTGTGCAGATATGGCTTCATCATCCCGCCAAGCACCCAAACAGCCTCGCACTACCAACATTGCATTCAAGGATACGCCAACAGATGCTTGGGCCACCAAACCGGTGGTAGGTGATACATCCTTTGATATGGACTTCTTTCGTCGGCATCAAACCACTACATGGAGTATTCAACAACTTGAAGACCGGGGCATCCTGGGCATCTATACTGTCACTGAACCGGCATACCCGCGCATTGTGCGCCTCTTTTATCAGCATATGTATGTCAACGATGAGGCCCCGGGAGCTCTTTGCTCCATTGTTGACGGAGTGGAGTTAGTGGTCACTCCAACTTCAATTGCCGAGGTCCTCCACTGTTCCATGGACCCTATTAATGCAGAACAGTTCCTGGTATTCACTCGGGAACTCACCATCCCGGAATTGGTGACTGAGTTTTATGAGGGGCGTCAGGAGGATGATAACTGTACGAGCATCAGGCGGGCTAATTTACCACGTCGCCTTCTCTTCCTCAATGTGGTCCTGAAAAAGAATGTCATTCCTATTGGCTACAAGGAAGAGTGGAGAGGGGAATTCCTCCTTGCCTTGCATCGATTTGACCTCGGGTTTTGGATTGACATCCCTACCTTGATCTACAATCAGATGTATAGAATCCTAAATGAAGTCAAAATCCGCAATACATGGGGTAGTTCTACATGGGCCCTCTCTTTTGCCAACCTCATTATAGCACTCATAAAAGCCCAAGGGACATACCCACTGCAGGCCATTGAGGTTCAGCTTCTGCCACCCCTATTTTATGGTAGAACTCACTGGCGTCAAACCACTGCTCGCCTGCCGTCTCCACTAGTTCTTCCCGAGACCCCAGCAAATCCTAATGATGCCTCAGTTGAGCCTGCAGCCGCACCAGCGCCGGCACGACCGCCATTCCGTATGACGAGGGCGCAATATCAGGCTATTATGGATAATCAAGTCGCCCTTCAGCAATCTATGGTTGATCTCCGGAACGACTACCAGGCTGACCGAGATTATTCACGGGTGGCATTTGATGGGTATGAGCAGTCAGTTGCCTCTTTGCACACTGACTTCTATACATACCGGGATTCGAGTGGGCAACGGTTTGATCAGTTTGATCAGCGGTTTGATTAGCATGGAACTAGGGTTCATGATGAGGCGTTCGAGACTCGGACACTGATGCATGCCCTATTTGGGCAGCATTTCCCACCACCACCACCAGATCCACATCAGTGATTTCTATATATTTCCTTTATTTTCTTTCATTTCATTTTGTTTATTTTCTTTTCCTTTCTCTTTTATATGTACTTAAATAAAAAAAACAAAAAAAAAATATCGAAAACTGTGTTTGGGTGTCCTTGCCTCACTGGATGTGCGCCCATGATGTCTGGTAAGATCCTCTCTCTCATTTTACTATCTCATGTTTACTTGCTTACATTGAGGACAATGTTATATTCCAGTTGGGGGGTGAGGGTATTTGTAATAAGTATTCAAGATCTGTACTTGCTGCACTTGATTTGCACCACTTCACTTAATGTTTACTTTGTGCCAGTATGGTAATGATATGAACATATATTAGTTGGGGAACATAGTGGGCTTGTATGAAAAGGGTTTATTGGGTAAATACTCACATGTGATGTTTGCACTAGGATAGTTGTTTGTGTTTGTGGTATTAGTACACTTGTCATGAGTATGCCTTAATTCACATGAACACACTATCATAGCAGTGACCTCTTTATTATAATCCCTGGTGTACATCATTGATAATGGTTGAGGTTGCAGAAAAGAATAAATGAGTAGCCAAGATTCTCTCTAAAAAAAAAAAAAAAAAAACAAAACAAAACAAAAACAAAACAAACTTGACTTGTTTGGATTCGTAGCCTTTTCAGCTCGAGTTATTAAGCCCGTAGGGGTGTCTCTACACCTAGTGCCCTAAAACCGTCTGGTTTGGAAGTCATTGGCCCAATGCTTGTTACATGGGCTGAATAGAAAGCTTAATGGATCAGGACATTGCACAGTCTTTCATAAAATTAAAAAAAAAAAAATTGAAAAGCTTGGTTGCAACAGTTTAGTTCTTCTGTATATGTTGAGTGTTATTATGAGTTACACTGGGCTATTATAGTGGACAGTTAACTAGTATGGTGATTGCACTTTACACCGAGGGTACTAATGATGTGTCTACTAGCATTCACAAGTACAGGGGACTCTACTTTTGTATTAACTGAATTGTGGTTTAAGCTCAATAGATTCCTTCATACTTGTCCACTATGCCTTTAATGAATCATCATGTTTTTAATATCACATTGTAGTGGGACATAAGTTGGTTGTTGTGTGGAGTAGTGTGGTTAATTGTTGTTGAGCGAATTTGAATATGTTGATGTTTGTGGGTATCATTTCTGAAAACCCTCACGAGACTATACTCGTCCACTTGGGGTAACCTTGTGGTTTAAAGGCTTGCTGCATATGTTAAATGCAATCGTGTTCCCTACGAAAGTGATTGGGAGTATTTTACTTTTCTTATTTCTTTTGTTTTTCTTGACGACTAGCAAAATGTAAGTTGGGGGCTGTGATGTATGTCGAAAGGTACCACATTGAGGCCACTTAGGTTACATTTTTTGTCTTTTAATTTTATTTATTTGGTGGAGATGATGTGTTTCGAGCACTTGTACAGATTTGACAGAAAATATGAAAATTCAATCAAAAGGAGGCGCGAAATTAGATTCTCCGAGCGAGACGTGAAAAATCCGAATCCACTAGGCCACCGCATGTGCGGCCCACCACCGCACGAGAGGCCCAAACCACCGCACGACTATTTTGTATAAAAAAAAAATTGAGAAGCTTGGTTGCAACAGTTTAGTTCTTCTGTATATGTTGAGTGTTATTATGAGTTACACTGGGCTATTATAGTGGACAGTTAACTAGTATGGTGATTGCACTTTACACCGAGGGTACTAATGATGTGTCTACTAGCATTCACAAGTACAGGGGACTCTACTTTTGTATTAACTGAATTGTGGTTTAAGCTCAATAGATTCCTTCATACTTGTCCACTATGCCTTTAATGAATCATCATGTTTTTAATATCACACTGTAGTGGCACATAAGTTGGTTGTTGTGTGGAGTAGTGTGGTTAATTGTTGTTGAGCGGATTTGAATATGTTGATGTTTGTGGGTATCATTTCTGAAAACCCTCACGAGACTATACTCGTCCACTTGGGGTAACCTTGTGGTTTAAAGGCTTGCTGCATATGCTAAATGCAATCGTGTTCCCAACGAAAGTGATTGGGAGTATTTTACTTTTCTTATTTCTTTTGTTTTTCTTGACGACTAGCAAAATGTAAGTTGGGGGGTGTGATGTATGCCGAAAGGTACCACATTGAGGCCACTTAGGTTACATTTTTTGTCTTTTAATTTTATTTATTTGGTGGAGATGATGTGTTTCGAGCACTTGTACAGATTTGACAGGAAATATGAAAATTCAATCAAAAGGGGGCGCGAAATTAGATTCTCCGAGCGAGACGTGAAAAATCCGAGTCCACCAGCCCACCGAACGTGCAGCCAAGTTTCATCGCACGCGCGGCCCACCACCGCACGAGAGGCCCAAACCACCGCACGAGCGGCCCACCTAGGGACGCGTGCACAGACTTTTTGGTCTATTTTGCTCCGAAT